ATCTCTCTCTATCTCTCTCTATCTCTCTCTTTCTCTATCTCTTTCTCTCTTTGTCTCTCTCTCTCTCTCTCTCTCCCTCTCTCTTTCGCTCCTCGACCCCTTGGCCTTTGGTCACGCGGTTATGACCATGTTATCACCCCAAAAATCAACTGTTCAATGCGTATGCCGATGATTTTTATATTTGGGTTGAATCACGCGACTGGATGTACCCTCCCCTGACCTCAGCTGTGAAGATGAACTTACTGATTACTCTGTCCTTCATTGGCAATGTATGTCCCTTTACTATATATCCTTTATAACTTTAGACGTGTATGTATTTAACGCCCTTACCCCTCGGTGAGTAGTTGTTGCTGCAACCGAGTGCGACGATTGACGCTTGAAGCAGACATCTTTTAATTTCGTAGAAACGAGAATACATTATGCTAACAGAACGGGTGACCACAGTGATCTGGAACGAATCTAATAACAGGGTAGAAACTTGATTACGAGGTGCTGCGGTTGATGTTGGTAGCTACAGCTACGCCGTGGGTGTAACCCAACGTAACCGCGTCGACTACTGGTTTCTAGACGGTTAACTGTGTATTTGGGTCCGTTTTTAATTCGTTTCCTGGTCGCTACAGCTGTAGCTAGCGAAGCATTATAGGTGGCATTTGCTGTAGAGACAGGCGTTTCATAAACACAATGTTTTGATAGCATATACGCATTTTCGCCAACAGTTTGTTGATATGTGATTGAGAAGTTTAGAACATCAAGCATTAATAACATACATAAAGTCATAGCTGTTAAAATATTATAATCAATATACTTATAGCATATAGAATTGTAATCTGGCATACAGAAAGGCGAGCTAGCATATAGATAGACATACTGACTTATAGAATGACAAGATGGTATCAGGAGCTAATAATGACAAATTTGTCTAATATTAACAATAAGGTCTATTAATTGACAGTTATTGACATTAATTATACATAATTAATTGACATTATTAATTGACAATAAGGTCTAATATTGACAAATTTGTCATTATTAGCTCCTGATGGTATATATACAGGAAGACAGGTTTCGCTCATCGTAACTCCATGCACGCGCGCGCGGCCCCCGCGTACACATAGAGCGCCGTTGTTACGTCGCTTCCGCTACTATTTTCCCTAGTAGCGTATGCGTGTGCATGCATGCATGTAATGTATGTGCGTATGTGCGTGCAATGGGTGCGTACATGCGAGCGGTGGATGCGCGTGCGTGCGTGCGGTAATGCGCGTGCATGCGTGCGTGCATGCGTGCGTTCGTACATATGTGCGTGGATGCGTGCGTCTGTCGCTTGCGTGCATACGTCAGCGCGTGCGTGCGTGCGTGCGGTAATGCGTGTGCGTGCGTGCGTGCGTGCGTGCGTACATACGTGCGTGGATGCGTGCGTGGATGCGTGCGTCTGTCGCTTGCGTGCATACGTCAGCGCGTGCGT